TCTTCATCTTCATCTTCATCTTCATCTTCATCTTCATCTTCATCTTCAAAACCATTTCTTTTGATACCCATATTGGGATACTTTATTTATTTTAATATATAATTTGAATTTGATTTTCGTATATATGGCAACCCTTTAAAATACTAAAATCATATTACACATCTACAAGGTCAAGCCCTTTCATTTGACACCTCATCTTTTAAAATCGCACGAACGATACAGGTTTTATGAATTGGAGTTAAATATTTAACGCAACCCTCTGCGGCAGAGAAATTTTGAATTCGATTCTCTAACATGTGGCAACTCCTTTCATGGAACTAGAGCTATGTTTCACACCCGAAGGACAAGGCCTTTCATGTGACACCTCATTTTTGAAAAACGAACGAACGATACAGATTTTATGACTTGGTGTTAAATATTTAACGCAACCATCTCCGAACTTGTGTCTGAAGTTTCACTTCAAAAATACAAACTAACCTCCACCAAAAAATATTACGTAAGTGGTGGTATGGGGTCAGCACTTAAGAGAGTAGCGACACATTTCACGCGACGGTGTTCTAGCTGTGACTAAATAAATAAAACGAAAAATATTTCACACCAATAAAAATATTGAGGTGTAAATATTATATGGAATGACCCTTAGATTTGGTAGCAGTGCTGTCATTTGCTAATTTTCGAGTAGAGTGCTTCTGAAGGAAAGGTGAAGTGATTATCGTAGTGACTATTTTGAAACAAAATTATGGCAGTAGGGTTATTCGATTTAATTTTTTTATTAGCTGATTGGTTAATAGAATATTTTTTATATTAAAGTACTTCAATAAACAAGCCTATGCACCGATTCCAAATATTGATTAGGCGCGTAAAGTTGCGTTAAAATTTAACAACAATTGGTTTCCTACGTTCTTTGGCATGTGGCTAATGGCCAGATGCACCGACGCCGATTATTTCTAAAGGCTCCGCCAGATAGAAATTATTTTCTGCGTCGATGCCTTTGACTGACATCCAAGTCAACTCTATGATTTTGAATAGAAGACGCATGCGTTGCCGTAGCTGATAAAATTTGCCCAACTCTCAACTTTTGACGTACGCATATGCGGCAAAACAACAACAACAACAAAAATATATGGAACGAATTCAAACCAGCTGATTTTTGAGAAATCAAATTGAGCCGTTTTGTTTGCGGCAAGGTTTTAATTGTGCCGTCTTGGCATCTTCCGTACGTTTTGTCAGTCAAAAGCATCCCTGTGACGCAGAAAAGAATTTCTATCTGGCGGGGCCTTAAGGTCGAGGCCACGCAATGAGCGGCTGAGCGGCGCCATACAGTGCGTGGCTACTTCAATACAAGGATGGGCGTAATCAGGAAAATGAATAATTGAATAAAAACAAATAAGAATAAGTTTTCATTCATCATTTCAACAATTTTGAATTACGAATACATTTTTATTCTTCATTAAAGCACTTGCGAATGGTGAATAAATTTTTATTCAGCATTCAAGTAATTCCAATAGCGAACAAATTTTTATTCTACATTCAAGCACTTTAGAATGATGAATAAATTTTTATTCATCATTCAAGTAATTTCAAATAACGAATAAATTTTTATTCTTCATTCAAATAATTTATTCACCACTCGAAAGTGCTGGAATGAAGAATAAAAGTTTATTCGTCATTCAAAATTAGAAAAATTATGAATAAAATTTTATTTTTTATTTGAATAATAATTCAATCTAAAACGCCCATCCCTGCTTCAATAGTATTTCGTATGTTTTGCCGCTCATTGCGTGGCCTCGACCTAAGATTGACGACGCCGCCGCCGCAATATCTATCGGCGTAAACCTCTATAACATACACAAAAAAAAAAAATTTATAAAAAAAACCCATCGAAAAACTGTCTTTTAATTCGAGGATTTCGGAGTAGCTAGTGATGGGCGAAGTAGTAGTTTTTCAGTATCAGTGAGAATAGTGATTGAGATTTTTAAATCACAGTGATTTTTTTATGGCCATTGCGATCGCTAGTTCTTTTAATAACACAGAAATGCGTAATATTTCTAATAAATGATGACAAATCAGTGTTGGCACATGTAGGGATGATTCCCTACCCGTAGCGATTTCAGGCGAAAAAATGAGTGTAGGGAAAAGAGGGAGAAGTTTCATTTATTCGCTCAAAAATTGCCATATTTCACTATTTCATGTTTTATTAATATTTGCAGCCATCTTTACTCGTTGATACAAATTTTGAAATAAAAAACTGAAAAGCAAATAACGCGATCAAGCAAATCAAACCGCGTACTTGAAAAAGTCCACTTAAAATAACCATGGAACGGTGATGAAAAAACGCAATATACATATGAGAGTATTCACAATGAATAATTAAAAATTGTTAAATCACCATTTCTACCATGAAAGAGAAAAATAACCATTCGCAACTTCTGCTGACTAGCTATTGACAGATGTGATTTTCATTTATAGTGAAATATCATGCGAGTAGAAAAATCACCAATCACTGATATTGTGGCCTAGTAGTAGCAGTCACTATAAGCGATTTTTAAATCACAGTGATAAAATCACCGGTAGTGAAATATCGCTCATCACTATAGCTCGCTCAGTTTTTGCAGTACCGAAAATTTTTCCATTTTGTTAGGTTTTTAGCGTCCTGTTCTACTGCAGGGAGGATCTGAAATACTGTAGCAAAATAAGGCATCTAATATATAAGCTGTCAAAAGTTACTTTCGAAAAATTTTTAAAATTATTTAAATTAGCCAAAAATGGCAAAAAATAACTCAACAATAGACTTAAAAATTACCCTTGGTTTTTTATATAAGGCCGACGATTCGATTTTCCATGTATCTAGCAAACTCCTCTGAAGCTACACTAAAACGACTACATTCCAACAAAACCGAAAACAACGGACTTTTAATTGCTATTTAATAAGCTCTCACTGTAAAAGTTGGCCACAAACAATAAAGATGAAAATATAAAAATTAAGATTCACTAAATTATTACATCTTCTAGGTTTCAAGGTTTGTTAAAAAAGTTGATCATCTTTACTTAGATTTTCATAGTATTAACAAGCTTAATTTACCTTTGCTGTTATATAGAAAAGATTATTCAAAATCATTTCGGTGGCCTCCGTTGATCCCGTTCCTTCCCTACGTCCACGTGTACCAGAGTCGGGGAAATACTGAAATAAATAATTGTTTTTATATTTCACCAAAGCACTCGCCGTTTGGCTAAAATTGTAGCAAAAGTGTTATATTTAAAATAAAAAGCTACAATGTTACATAAATTCTAAAATGGCTACTATTTCATAGCTGGAAAAATTTTTTTACTTGTTAAAAAAACAACATAGGAATGAACACATTAGTGGTTACTATGCATGCGTGTTCTGACGAATGAGTGTGTACAACATGGCCATTAATATAGTGACGAGTTGTATAACTTGCCAGAAAATCCAAGAATTTTGATCTTTCATACAACCAAGACACAAATTCATCCCACAGGCCCACAAACGGTGGAATCTAGAGCAAAACATAACCATGTTGAACCAACGGTCGCACTAGGGAATCCAATCCTGCAAACGCGGGATCCCGCGCCATTTTTGCGGGATTATAAATAAAGGATTATACATGCGGGATCCGCGGGATTTTCGGGACTACAGAAAAAATTAAAAAGACGAATGGGAGTTGTGAACGTGCTAGCCAATATGTTCGTCGTGCATTGCTGTATTAAATATACATTATTTTATAACCCCGTAGATAATTTCAGGAGTTAAAAGCCCTTCCGAAAGGCCTTCCTGAGAGTCAAATGGCCTTCCACTCTACATTCCTTTCTCCTTTCTTTTTTGTATGGACTGTCATCAATTGAAGGGCTTCTTCTTTCGCTACCCAAAGAAGTCTTCCAGAAGGCCTTTTGGAGGAGTTCATTGAGTTTCGCAATGTGTTTTGAGGCTAGAAGCAAATCCTGATGTTATGGAGCAAAACCGACTTCAGATTGATGTTCAGCGAATCCAAAAATATGTAAAACACCTGGTTTTATTAACCATTCATCGATTTTTTTTGTGGTCCTGCGTAATTGTTTAAAATTTCGCGTTGAAAACTAGCTTAAACTTTGCACACTTAACGATTTATGAACACATTATACAAGTGTACAACAGTCCGTTTCTATCAATAAGTACACTTACACTTACAGCGCAAAAATTTATTTATTTTTCTTGAGCTTCCTTTCAGATGGATGCTAAATTTCGAATACTCATAACTCTGGTTCTATTAGAGGCACACATTCAGCTCCGGTGTAATTTTCAAGAATATGTTATATAGAATAAATTACTTTAACGCCATATTCAAATAGCAAACGTTAAAAAAGTTCCGCGGAAAAACAGGACAACTTAGTTAAATTTGAATAATCCAGAATTACTGATATTTTAGCTAGTTTTGGGATTACAACGAGCGGGTATTGTTTCAAATCGGATAAAACACTACAGTAACTCTTATTATGATATATTTTCTTCTGAAAAATACCAAACAGATATAGCGATTTTCACCATATATCTACGAAACTATGCATAATCACCAAAATCAAAAGATTCTGCTTGTGCAATAAAATAAGGTCGAATTTAAAAGATGAAACTTTAAAGACTTTATCATTCCTTCGGAAATAGTATCAAAAAAGTCAACCTAATTAAAAGCAAATATGTAGATTTTCTAAATCAAATCGTCCTTTTTACATATCAATTTTCAATATAACTCACATACATATGTTCATAAAGTATATCAACGAAAGACGAATTCATACAAGGTGATAGCGGGAGCACAAAAACTACTCTAGAAAATTATATCTACGCACAATGACAAACATGAACAAATGTACAAAAAAATTATAGTTTAAAAAACTAAAACCTCCCTATTATAATTGCCATTCGTACTGTCATCAGGTATGTAACTTGAGAATAGAAATCGCTGCATCTTTTACATACAATATTACATAGTTACATCCCGAGTTAATAAAAGGAAGGTAAGAATAGGTAAAAACACATAATTTTTGACAATCAGTACAATTCGCATTGATATCAACGAGCTGCGTTGCTAGCTCTAGTTAGATTTGTTTTCGTTTGTACTACATACATATGTTCATATATACATGTACACAAACATATGTACATACACACAAATATATGTACAACCCCTGCAGAATATCTGACTAGCTCAGAACTAGCGTAGAACTAGCCCTTTTGCCGACAGTACTAGTTCTAGTAGCTCAATACCCAAGCAATGCTTTCAACTGTCCACTTTTACACGGCGATGGCGGTGGCAATTGTCGCCCGGTGCATTACTTTGCAACTAGTTTTTAACCGGTTCCGTTTTGGACAGGTTCTCTTTATAAGAAAAAGTTTTTAAAATTCAATCTTTGGATAATTTTTTATTTTTTTCTTTCCTTTTACAGATTTCATTTTTGTTACATATTTTATCTAAAAGAAAATATTGTGAGCTGCACGCAACAATTTAAATTCATTAAATCTGAAAACTTACAACTGCCTCCACCGCGATTTGAACTCGCGACCAAGGATGCTTGAGTCAGGCTTTCTCGTTGAGCTACTTTTGTATTGTACGAGAAGTGAGAATTTGTACATTTACACCGCAAGTTTCAACTGTCCCGCTCTGCATCCGTCTTGCAGTAGTTCTAAATTTTACTGCTGAGACCATTCAACCACATACACATACATGGAAACATTGCTGTCCATAAGTACATACATATGTCCGTTAGTATATCAACGAAGCCCGTTTATTTCATCATAGATAGATCCATACAAACATCTACTATATATTTGTGAAAGTATGTATGTACATATCAGGGTTGTTGCGAATATTATTCCGAAATAAAAGTCCTTTCCGGATAATAAACAAACCGCTTATCCAAATTACACAAGGTTGGTATCAAATTCAAATCAAAGAGGACTTAAATAGCTTTAAAACTGAAATGTCGAAACGAGGAAAGCCACATATAGAAAAATATTTCAATAAAAAATGTTAATTAATTCCCATAGAACAAACTTTGTGTCAGGTATATGAATTTCTTTAGTATTAAATTATAAAATAAATATAAATACAGGTCGTTCGTTATTTCTGTTTAAAAGCTATTTCAGTCCTCTTCCATGAGATACTAAATTTGTTTAATTTGGACAGGTGGTTTGTTTATTATCCGGAAAGGACTTTTATTTCGGATTAATATTCGCAATAACCCTCGTACACATGTATGTATGTATGTACTATGTATGTATGTGCCAGGCTTTAGTCTAAACGGACGGACAGAATCGAACAAAATTTTGACAGAGTATTCCCATGAAACCTGGGCCTATAATAGGGTGCAAAAATTGGGATCCGACAAAGGGCGTGGCACCTTCCATAGACGTGAAATTTTTAATCAGCCATAACTTCCAGACCATAAGTCACTTGGTATGCAGGCATGTCAATGGTAGATGCATATAGGCGGGTATATATAAACGAGTTTGTAAAAGGGGGCGTTGCACATCCCATATGCGTGGCATTTTTTATCCATGAACGTTGGTTGGTTCATACTTTTTATCAGCTATAACTTCGGAACCATAAATCCCACGACCTTGAAATTTGGTATGCAGACATATCAATGGTAGATGCATATAGGAGGGTATACAGGGTGTCCCAGAAGTAACCTGCCAAACTTTAGGGGAAGGTAGATGGGCGTGAGCTCTCTGATAAACAAAAAATTTTCAGGTAAAAGTGTTACCGTTTTTGAAATATTTGCATTTTTTGAATTAAAAATAAATCGTGCCTTTTCATGTATTTTCTTTAACTGCATCTACAAACCAGGCTATACTTAGTAAATTTTTTATGTAAAATACTTCCAGATAGTTGCTTCTCCATACTCAAATGCAATGTAGTTAAAATATATTAAGGAACCATCGTAAAATTAAGACTATTGTGGGATTTTTAACTTTTTGATATTTTCTTCCCCAACTTTGACCATCTCTGGTGAAAAAAATGTACTGAGCTATAACTTTACATTACATAAAAAAATTGCTCATTTAATAAAGATTTCAGAAATGTGCCACTCTTACTGTTTCGAATAGAAAAAAAGTTATAGCCGCTTTTGTGGGCAAATGACTGAGACACGCTAGAATGTATTTAATAGATTTAAATTTAAGTTGCTCTTGTTATCGACCAATGACATGCTAAATAGTACAAAGGTACGATACATTATTACCTGCTCCTGACATTATTTTATGTTACTTACCGGAATTAGTAAAAGTGGATTTTGCGAAATTGGACCCTTCGAACATTGTGTTATTAATACTATGACAGAGAACACGCAGTATGAATATGCGGATATTCACCTAATTTACGGCGAAGCTTGCTGTAATGCCAGAGCTGCTCAAAGACTATGCAGAGCGATACCCCAATCGTCGGCATCCGGGTCGTGAAGTATTCGCCCGGACCCATAGAGAAATATATGAAGGTAAGTGATTTTTACACCTTTCTTGTTTGCTTGCTTGTTAACTATCATTTTTCACTTTTTTAAGGTCGCATACCTGGAAGGCGTTGCGGCGAAAAAGGACGTCCTGCAACGGTAGATGTTGAAGTTGTGTTAGAGGAAGTGGAACTAGGCCCATCGACTTCAGTGAGAATGATGGAAAGACGGACGGGAATACCAAAAACTACAGTTCACAAAGCTTAAAAAGACCATCGATTTCATCCCTACCACATTCAACGTGTTCAGGCTCTACAAGAAAGATATTACCTGTCGAGGGTTAGATTTTGCCGTGAAATGTTGCGAATGCATGAATCAGACCCCAACTTTTTTAATAAAATAATTTGGAGCGATGAATCAACATGCAAACGTGATAGTTATTTTAATTTACATAACTTTCGCAGTTGGCAGATAGACAATCCTCACGAAATGTGAGAAGATCGTTCGCAGTACCGGTACAAAATAAATTTATGGTGCGGTATTTTTAATTGTCAGATATTGGGACCTGTGGAACTGCCGCCAACGCTCAACTCTCTCTTAAACCTGCGGTGAAGACTATGGCTGCAAAATGACGGATGCCCTGCTCACTACGGGCGTGAAGTAAGAGCTCATTTAGACGAAACTTATCCTCGCCGATGGATTGGACGATACGGGCCAATCACGTGGCCCGCTCGATCGCCA